TTATGACTTTTACAGTGCTTATTAAAAATGTAAAAATCGTGGTTTCTCATACATTGTCACTCCCATTAAGCTCCACTCACACTAGGGCTGCATATTGGAAAAAAATGACTTTGCAATATTTGGTTCAGCAGCGATATATACTGTGATATGAAAATAATTTTACCAGTTGATTTGAATAACTTTATTTAGAGAGGTTTCATTAATTTTGATCAACTTGGGCAATCAAATCTTTTTCTATGCAGTGCTTTTGCATAAAATATAATATATTTCAATATAAGCTAATACACTCACCGGCCATCTTATTAGGGACACCTTACTAGTACCAGGTTGGACCCCCTCCTTTTGCTCCAGAACTGCCTTAATCCTTCATGGCATAGATTAAACAAGGTACTGGAAATATTCCTCAGAGATTTTGCTCCATATTGACATGATAGCATCACACAGTTGCTGCAGATTTGTCAGCTGCACATTCATGATGCAAATCTCCTGTTCCACCAAATCCCAAAGGTGCTCTGTTGGATTGTAAGCTGAAGACTGTGGAGGCCATTTGAGTACAGTGAACTCCTTGTCATGTTCAAGAAACCAGTCTGAGATGATTCGCGCTTTATTCGCGGTATCCAGCTGGAAGTAGCCATCAGAAGATGCGTACACTGTGGTCATAAAGGGATGGACATGGTCAGCAATGATACTCAGGTAGGCTGTGGAGTTGGCACCATGCTCACTTGGTACTAATGGGCCCAAAGCGTGCTAAGACCAATCTTGTATTCATGTTAAAGTCAGTTAATTCACCTTTCCGCAACATTCTGATGCTCTGATTGAACTGCAGCACATCGTCTTAACCATGTCTAGATCCCTAAATGCACTGAGTTGATGACATGTGATTGGCTGATTAGAAATTTGCATTAATGAGCAGTTAGACCTAATAAAGTGGCCAGTGAGAGCAACAGAGCAAAAACAAAAGTTAGATAGACAGTGGTTTATGGCTTTCTGGAGAGTCTAACAGTATCAAAAACAGAAATTGAATCAGATGTAAAATGATAGAGCCATAATTATATTAAAAAAAAAAAAAAAAAAAAATATATATATATATATATATATATATATATATATATATATATATATATATATATATATATCTTCATCTTTTAACCCTTAATAAATAATCTAATCTTGCGATGTGACTACGGCAGATACACATTGACAATATCAATGTTTTGTATTGTTCAGCCATAGTTCACGCAACACAACTTCTGGTCTGTTATGGTTGACAGTGTAAGATTAAGCAACTTTGGCTTCTAAATAATTTAGCAAGAAACACATCAAGCGTCATCTTTAACAACTTGTGTGATGTCATCAAAAAGAAGGAACTGATAGTTAACTTTCGAAAGCACAAGTGTAAACAAGCCAAGAATAAAAGCACTGCCAAAAATAAGAAACCGTGAAACTGACAATTTGCTGAATAATTTTATCCCACTTTCATTTCAACATGTTTGCTATCTGCACGTGCTTTGATTGGTCAACACCACAAATATGAGTCAACCCACTGTAGAGCATCAAAAAGAAATGTAAACATGCTGGTCAATTTAATGTTAATTTGATTGGCAATTTGTTGCTAAACTCCATAACACTTTCATTTCAACATGTTTGCTAGCTGCACGTGCTCCTATAGATCAACACCACAGATGAGTCAACCCATTGTAGAGCATAAAAAAATATAAACATGCTAGTATGTTTTGATGTGAATTTAGAAAAGCAATTTGTTGCATAATTCCATCTCAAGGTGCGTCCCAAATCCCATACTTATGCATTATTCTAGTAGTGCTTCCACACTGAAAACTAAAAATAATAAGTGCAATTTAAAGGGCCATGAAACCCGCTGTTTAAGCAGGGTGATTTCATATCTCTAGTTTGGAAAAAGTCAGGAAAGTGGGCATGTCCAGCTCTGTTAAGGGGGGAGTGTCGAAGGAGGGAAAGAGGGAAGGTCCATAAAAATTTGCATAAAAATAGGAGTTTCGATTTGGGCACACACAGATTTTCACAAAGGCAAAACAAACACACAGACGCAGGGCAGAAAAAGTGACTGTGTTTACATGGACATCAGTGATCGAATTATTTGCCAAATTATTAAATGGTGAACTTTAACTGCAGTTTGGCTCTTTCGTTCAAGAATTTAATTCATGCCCCTAGTGACAAACGAGATATTTGATTCGAGGAACTGCTGTGATCGTGTATTTTTAATGCAATGCTTGATACTGACGACGAATGAGAGAAGAAAAAAAACCTCCACATTTCTCTTTAACTTAGATGCACTGAGTAGTTGGTGTCAGAAAACCGCGTGTGTTATTCCCGTCACAAAATGCGGTGAAAAACCTACACGATAGTAATAGTTTGATTGTGGTGTTTACACGTTGACACTCGGAGAGCCGCATTTACAGCAGATCTTTTAGTTCATAATATTGTAGTGATATTAATGTACGGCAAACTTTAGTAACTTAAAAATAATTCGATTAAGATCCGTCTTTAAACACTAAAAGAGAACTGCTTACGATACAAACTAACTTTGCCTCTGAATAAACAAACAAACAAAGACTGATCGTTTACTTAACTCTGTAGAGACAGAACAATCAACACCAACTGGAGCTGCATCTTTATTAAAAGGAGATGAGCAGCTAATCCTGATTTCACCATTTCCAGATGAGAAAAGCTCTCGGGTAAAAAAAAAAAAAAGTTCCTTAGACACATTTTTGTCAAGCGTTGAGTGTACTGATGCACACGTGAATCCAGCTGCGCTCTCATAGCAGGAAAATTAAAACAAAACCTTCATTGCACCAAATTTTAAGCAACACTGATGACCCGTATCTCCAAACAATTCTTCTTCTCCCACTTGTTTTGGCAGCACAACGTGGTGTCTCCCTCTGCCGTCTGAACACTGTACAGGTACAAACAGTCTTCCAAGCTATCATGCATATTAATGAAGTTGCACCACACACACATTACAGTGCGTTGATTGGTTTAAACCAAGTCTTTCTCATGAATGAATGCAGCACACTCAGAGATGTCACGAAGAACTCCCAGGTACAGACAGCCAGTCTACACGCTGGAATGCACGCAAGGATCTAATCGCCGTGAATCAGCTTTAAAAATTTGTTTCAAACTGGAAGAACGAAAGAAAATGCAAAAACAACCAATTTTCACTTATTTTGTGAAATGTATGTGTCCTAATAGTGTTTGTAGAAGCATGGGACACATATGACTGTCAACAGCTCAAAAAATGTGTTGGTGTTTTGTGACCCTTTAAAAACTCAGATGATCCACTTATTTAACCGTCAAAAAAGTGTGGAATGATGGACACTTCTCACACTCAACAACCGCAGCTTTGCTAACATAGTGGAAGGGGTGGAGCTTTCGGGCGCTCATGTTGGATAACTATTTTGCATTTTGAAAGCAAAATTCTCCTACGAGAGTGATTATAGCCCCCATTTATTTCACTAATCATCAACAGGGAAACGAATTGAATTTCCCCTTAGTAAAAAACATTAGCGTCCAATTTAGGACGACACTACATACATTTACTATGCTGTTGAGTGTTTAAGTGCATAAGTACGTAGTGCATAAGTTCATGGCGTGCCATCTGAGATGCAGCTTCACTTTTATTTCATCATGTTTGCTAGCTGCATATGCTTCTATTGGTCAACACCACAGATGTGAGTCAACCAATTGTAAAGCATAAAAAAAGTAAACATGCTAGTGAATTTGATGTGAATGTGACTAGCAATTTGTTTCATAATTCCATTTCACATTCATTTCAACATGTTTGCTATAGCTGCATGTGCTCCCATTGGTCAACACCACAGATGTGAGTCAACCCGTTGTACAGAATCAAAAAAAAATGTAAACATGCTAGACTAGTCAATTTGATGTGAATTTGACTGGCAATTTGTTGCTCTACTCCACCCCAACTTTCATTTCAGCATGTCTGCTAGCTGCACGTGCTCCTATTGGTCAATACCACAGATGTGAGTCAACCCATAGTAGAGCATTAAAAACAATGTAAAAATGCTAGTCAGTTTGATGTGAAGCATCTCAAAAGCTGTGCCAACTGTCAATCACTATTACATATGATACAAGTTATTAGCAATCAGCTTTAACATCTCCATACCTACTGTCACTCAAGAATTACCTAGCCAAATGAACAGTGCAATTAAAGACCGGTATTGTGCAGTCTGAACTGAATATTTCTACTTTTGCGTTCCACAGAGGAAAGTTAGATCTGGCATATCAGTAAGTAAATAAACTAAAAAGTTTTCATAAGTAGTGTTAAATTTACTATAACGCTGTAAAATCTGAATGTTTCATGAAGTAAACAGACAGGTCTTTAAAAGCACAATCAGATGACATGAAAGGTCAACAAACCCCAGCAGACTGCTGTTTGCCTTTTTTTCCATTCACTTTTGTCCCTGAAAACTCCCTCGTCTAAATGAGCTGTTATCCGTCAAGAGGAAGATCAGCTGACCCACTAAGACTTTCCCGCCAAGCTCTCAGGGAGCTAAAATAAAACACACACGCGCACATACACATGGATGAGAGGCTCACCTCGCTCTTACCGGATTCACTGACATCCACAGCAAAGTCCAAATCAGTGACCCAAATCAGTGTAAATGTGGGACAGGTGCTTGCAAGCACTATGTAAACACTCTCCTTTCCAGCTATTGTATGTGTGATGTATATTTAGCCTAGACAGGGAGGCTAATGAGGGTTATGCTGTGAACTTGCTGAGATCCCACACTTGAGAGCATACATCGACATGGAGCAGGGATCAGAAGTGAGGAAGGATAAAAAAAAGTAGCAGCTTGTGGCTCGCAGCCAAGGATTACGAAGTTGCACGCCGGTATGAGCAGGTATTGGTGGCTCATTGCCCAAGCAACCCCGATGACTTCATGCTAAAAGTTTTTCTGGTTCACTTGATTAGATGATAAACACAGATCTGTTCAGACGAGTCATTTAAAAAATAAAAAGCACTTTAATTTCATTTGCATAATGTATGCAGTAATAGACATATCACTCTGTAAAAATAATGAAATATCAACACTTAAACTCATGAAGCAAATGCAGAGTCTTAAACTGAAAAATTACCTATTCGCACTGATGATCGTCCAAACGTTATTTGCAAGAATGTTCATGCTGCTCTTTTCCACAATATAATTGCGTTTCACATGAATGTGTGTTGTTTGATTGATGTTGCAAGAGAAAGGGCAAAGGCACTGGAAATCCTGAAGACGAATGTCCACATCTGCTTAAAGTCAAAGATATGCGCTGATCCTAATGGATCAGATGATTGAATTTAAATGCAAGACCTGCAAAAAAAAGTCTGCATAAGATTTAATATTGAATAAATAACCTCCATTCTCGATCAGCAGGAAAACAAATGTGATCCAGTAATCCAAAATCATCTGTGAAGTATTTGGAGTTCAGTTAGAGCAGCCAAAAAGGTTAGAACAGCTCACCACAGTGTGGTTTAAGAGGGCAACAGAGGTGGCTAGATGTGGTTAAAAAAGACCACTGCTCAGACAAAACAGCAGCAGGGAAGACATCTGTCCAACACAAGAATCCAAATCCAGACATTAACTGTAACCACAGGCCTGTGGCAGATGGGGAAAACCACCAAATCCAGGGGTCCAAGCATCACAGAGCCTGAAGTAAAGTTTTGCTACTCCACAGGGACACTGGAGATATCTCTGCTGCACACTGTAAACCAATCAATCTCAAAGTACCTTGTCATATTGATCTCAAAAATACATTAAGAGTACTTTTATTCCTTTGGTCCATCTCCAAGCTTGACCCCAAAACACCCCAGTAGAGGCAGCGAGGGATGTTATAGTGCAGGTACCTGCTTGTCACAGTCATTTTGATGTTTGGCATGTTTTGTATCCAGATCTGTGGCCTGCTCTGATTTCCTCTTCTTACGGACTTGATAAAGATGGTTTTTGGACTTCTGGTGAGCTAAAAGTCAAGACAGGTGAAGTATTAGTATCTTATTTCTTCTTTAAAGACATTTGAGAACGCACTGGTTTTACTAGATTAAAAACTCACCTGTCCATTCCAAGTCTCCAATGATTACCTTTTCGCACAGATCGCACATGTGATGACTCCGCTTATTGCGAGACTCCACCCCCTCTGCTTTAATTGGCTGTGCAGATGGTTGCTCTCCCTGAAATTGTTTAAAAAGACAGGTGATATTAGAGGTTACTGAAGCTTATAACCAGCCTAAAATTCAACTTTCTAGGTCGCCTATTAAAGAAAATAAACAGTCAAGCAATCAAATTACATCAAAATCACTGACTGGGTATTAGCAGCACATTCTTAATCAGTGATGTGTAAGGAAGACATTAAAAGTAAATGGAAACAAGTCAAACCTTTTGGAGGCAGTCCAGGATCTCTAGAGCAGGAGTAAGTACAGTAGTCTCCCAATTGGTCACATCAGTCACATCCAGACCATAAACAGGTGGCACATTGCTAGCAGGTCCTAAAGATTGAGATGATAAATTGATTAAAGATGACACTGATGAAATAGCATCTTGCAGAACAATTGTGGTGCAAGGCAACGGAGTGAACATGGTATACTTTTGTTTTCAGACTAAATCTAATTGAGAAAAGACAATGGTTTCACCTAATGGTTACATCATGTTAAACTTTCAGCTCGGGGAAAAACAATGATCATGATTTGCTGATTGGTCACAGGGAGTAGGTTTAACCTCAGACGACAAACCAACCAAATCAGATAGTAGCTGTTTCCATCCACTTACGCATTTTGGGAAAAAATTTAAGATTTTAAAAAAGAATTTGCATAAAGAAAGTTTTGCAAAAATCTGCACTACTGAGGAGGATAAAATGTCAGGCTGATAGAACAAAAATGTACATAACATATGATGGTAATACATTTACTGAATAAATTACAGTAGGTGTGTCAAAAAAGTAATGCTATTAATGAACAAACCAGTACACTGACCACAATGTTAAACATCTGATATGTTGTTTTGGTCAATCTACCAACCCCTTAGCCAAAGTCATTAATCAAAGTTTTAGCATCTTGAGCTCTCAAAGAGTCTCTCACATCAAAAACTCACTGTTCCGTAAACAAGTCATTTATTACACAAGACAAAATGCCTATGATGGCTTCGCATAAAGCAAGTTCCATTTGACTTGTGATATTTGATGATAGTTTCTAAGTTTATTTTGTTCTCTTTGACTCAAACTTTTTTTCGAATGTTTTATTTAATAGTACAGAGTTTAATTGGGATCTTTGGTTGGAAACATAGCTAGTGACACATCTACATTAGGGGTGCCCAAACCTTTTTATATGAAAGGCCAAAAACCAATTATTATTTATAAACAAGGTAAACATACCAAACTATATTACATTGTAGTTACCATGGCTTATTTTCTTAATTTATTAGAAAACATGACTTAAAATCATATTAAGTAATGCAGAATAACATTTAAAATGAGAAATTATTGCATTAATAGCATGAACAATCACATTTATAAGAGTGGAATTCAATGCTGAATACACGAATCAAGCAGAATCTGCCTTTGCCTTAATATTTGTCCTCTATCCGTCGGGTGACAGTATGTGCATTTAAACTAAATCTGATTAATTTACACCATTTAATATTATTTCGCTTTTAACAATTAAACAAACAGGTTACATTAGATTTAAAAATGACAATCTCTAAGCCATCTTCATATTTCCTATCTTTTTAAATGGGATGTGGGCAACATTAATAGTTACCATGGGCCAACTTTGCCCTGTGGGTGCTAGTGTGGACATCTCTGATCTACATAAATACATTACAATTAGATTCATTACACAGATTTCGAATATTGATCTAAACTTCTTGCCAAATGAACACAGACAGCCTTAAAAATATAAATGAAAAATAAAAAAATAAAAAGTTTATAGTGGTTTTATTCTATTTCTAATAAATAAAAATGTCGAAGGCAAAAAGGTATAAAGGGAGAGAATATGTGTGGTGGTGGTGCGGTGCAGTGAATCAGTGTGGAGCAGGGAGGGCCTGCAGCAGTCTGAAGCTGCTGAATCACTGCTGCTCGATAATCTCCAACAGCATTCTGACACTGTCAGCAGAGACGACCTCACTCTGCCTCCCTCTACGCTATTGATCAATGAACAATACAGCAGACATGCACAGAAAACGAGAGAGGACTATAAGTTAAGCACATGCAGATGGGGAATAAAACACATAGAAATGCAAAATTTCAGGAAATACATTATTTCCTGAATCCAAGTCAAAAAGCTCATCTTTAAGTGCAAGGGACTGTTTGGCTTCTTAATAAAATAATTTTTCATTTTTTTAAACAAAACATCACATGATTTAAGGCAGGGCTGAAAAACAGACCTGTAGAGTTTAGTTCCAACCCTGCTTCAACACACTTAGCAGTGGGTTTCAAACAAGCTAAATTGGTTTAATACGATGCGTTTAATTAGGGTCGGAACTATAACGTGTAGAGCTGTGGCACTCCAGGAACTGAGTTTGACACCTGTGTTTTAAAACATTAATGTATGTAGAGCGGTTATGCCCCATGGCTCACAAGAACATAACAAAGAAGAGGGACACCCAAGAAAGCCAAAATTACGTAACATAATATATTACAGAAATGGTTGTAAACAATTTAAAGCAAAAACATGTAAATGTCGTAGTCAGGAATCAGTAGTGTTTCAGATGTAGGTGTATGTTTAGAGATGTCAAAATTAATTGTTTCTTCAGTGCACCGTGATGCAGACGCGGACAATTCGGTATCGGTTCAGTAATAATCATAACCGATTATTACATACTGACGTCATTTATATCATATGCGCCATGTCGCCGTAGCTTACTAGGGTATTTATTTTTCCAACTACTTAAAAATGCAGAAACTGTGCACAATTTCACTGTGTGTGTGTTTTCTAGGCAGTCTTTCACGGACACTTACAGCAGAAGCTCCTATTTCACTGCGATTGAGAGAATGAAAGTAAACTCCATTTCTCTCTCTCTCTCTCTCTCTCTCTCTCTCTCTCTCTCTCTCTCTCACAGTTGCCCATTTGACCTGCTGGCATGACTTTTCCTCTCCTCTCGGCTGTTACAGCGATACTTCTGGATAGAGGTCTGCATTCTCACGGTAGCCAACCAGATTTCTTGCAGTGCTGGAATAAATTTCTGAATAAAGCGTGGGAGTGGTCGGTAACTCTGGTATAATTTGAATGGGAGCGGGCGGTCTAACAATATCGCTCCCAAGCGAGCAAGCACGTGTGCATGCGTGCGTACGTGTGTGTTTATGTGTTTGAATGAGAGCGTGATGCTGTGTGTCGCTTGCTTGGTGCTGTGTGTCTGTGAGTTTATGCCAACAGCTTGTTACATTGCCTCTGCATTGGTGCTGTGACCCGGATGGGTGTGAGGTTTTGTGGGATGACTGAAGTGGAGGAAATCAGAACTCTGAACCCTCCTCCCTTGGCTTGTATGTGTTGGTGAGAGTCAAGCACATTTACTTATGAGTTTTTAAATTTTAGAGAGAAAGTTGTGGTTAGAAGCTGAATATTGTCTGTATTAACAAGCAACTGAAGCAACTCTCCATTCTACTTGAGACTATGACCTGCAGACACAATCAAAGAGACCAAGCTAAAAGATGACATCATCCCTAACCGCAAATTCCAACTGATGCGTTATTTCATGTAAACCTTTTTCTTTTATAACTTCTTCAGACCTCAAAACTGACTGAAGGAGTACCACTTCAGGTTACAATTCCCAAGCTGGACCTTATCGAAAATTTTGTAAAGTACTGAACAGAATGCAGTTGTTTTAGAATGCACTTGCGCATCGATGGATTTTTCTTCAGTGTTTGGACTTTCAGCAGTGAAATTTAACCACAGTGAACTGAACCAAACTAAACTTCAACTCTGAAAACTGGACTGACACAACTTCTTTGACACAATCTACACTGTAAAAGCACTATAAATAAACATGAATTGAATTGAACTTGTATGGTCTTATAATTTGTAACTAGTTATAGAAAAACACTGACCAGACGTTCTAAAACTTAAGAAAAGGTGAAGAATAAAACAAAATATATTGAAACATGCCTTTAAGACGAACTCATTCATATCTAGAGGTAAAAATCAAACCTGAAAAAGGGAAACATTTTGATTTAAAGATTTCCCCTGCTGTTAACCAGATTTTTAAGACTAATGAGATATCATGACCTGCTTTCATGCTTTATTCAAATCCTTCTACTTTTCTGATTAGACCCAATAACCACATAATCTTCATGATTTATAGCTTGAACTCCTTAAAATGGAGGTATAAATGATGAAGAAAAAGAATAAAAAGGATCCATTAGTGACATTCTGCCTTCTCTGGTCTTGGTGCTGCACTAAATTCTACCTTATCATAAACTGTTACCATATCGTTTTAAGCTAACATTGACTGTTTATCTGTTTGGCTTAAGACTTAACTTCAATAATACATAAGATGTATCCCTACGCAGTATTGTCGTGGAACAATGTTTTAAACCCCATCAGGAAGTAACACCACAGTAAATAGAACCGCAATTTATGATTGCACAATTCGTAGACGATGCTTCTCTTACTGTGATAAATAATTGTATTACTTGTAAGAAGTTAAATTGTGGTGCATATCTAGTCTTCTCACTGAAGGAGGGGGAAAAACTTGCTCAGCAACTACTAATCCTATTCCATTTCATTCAAGAAAGTCAACTGCGGCCAGTGAGCTGTCACTATGACCAATTGCAGTGGTTAGACTCACGGAGGCTTAATTACATCCTAATGTAGACATAAGCGGTCAAAATTTCCTGCTGTGATAACCAGTTTCAAAGCAGTATCTCTCTGGCAAAGATATTTTTAGAGCAACTATTTTCAAACATTGTCTGGCTGAACTGTCAAACTACTTGAAATGACATCCTGTATTTACAAATGTTTTTTTTTTTCTGAGTTAAATCCAAGTTAAGTTGACAAACTCATATATATATATATATATATATATATATATATATATATATATATATATATATATATATATATATATACACATACATATATATATATATATATACATATATATACATATATATATATATATATATATATATATACATACATATATATATATACATATATATATATATATATATATATATACATATATATATATATATATATATATATATATATGCTTATACATATATATTTTTAATTCATTAAAGTTGCTTAATTGTGCAAGAGTGTTGTATTAATTTTGTTTCAAAGTCTGTGATGGCGGAATTGTTTTATCATTCAAGATTATTGTGATAAAGAAGAAACCTAAGCTTTTACGGTATGCAAAATGCATTCAGTTAGGTAACACTAGCCTTTTATTACAACGGTAATGCTCTGATAATTACTCTAAAGAGATCAACAGAGTCCACTTTGAAAACAGAAGAGCCAGTATTTCGTAAGAGCAATACTGATATCATCAT